AAAATGTGTGGATGTGGGCAGAAGGGGAATCTTGTGTTTTCAGTGGCAGGACATTCTCAAGATGGATTTAAGGCAGCTGGGAAACTATGTGCTAACTTCAGCAGAAACATGAAGCATGCAAAATCAAAGATCGCTAAGAGAGAAGGCTTCCACTTTGCTTCTCCTCAGTTAAGTAAAACATAACTGATCCTGACATAAAGCCAAACAGCCAAACAAGTTGGATGTAGCTGCATATGAGGAAGAATCTTGGAAATCATGGAATAAGACAGTAATCCTAAAATAAAGTCTTGCCAAGCAAGGAAATACATTATTTGAAACAGGGGATTTTGAAAAATCACTTCGGCTTCAGTCAGTAAGTATTTACTCAAGTTGAGTCTTGAATCATTCTGAGAACAAACAGAAAGAAGAGTTTGCCCTCTTATTCTGTATCCTTTCTGATGACAACAGAACATCTGCTTAGGAGACACAGAATCACAGAATCACACTGTGATTTCTCAAAAAAGAAAAAAAAGAGGAAGAATATAATTCCAAATGTATGATCTGCATAAGAGGTATGAAACGACAGTACCTCATGCAATCAAACATTTATTTTATGTCATATTTATAGAAAATATGCTATTAAAAATATGCCATATGCTAAAAAATTGTAGATGAATCTGGAAGGGTTTTTTGTTGGTTTTGGTTATGTTTTAAATCAGCCTTTTTGAATACTTCCTCTTTGTATTCTTTATTTTTCTGTTTTCTCTCCCAGTTGTTAATCATAGAAATATTGGTGGGAAGGGACCACTGGAAACCAATCTTCTGAGATTCAAAGCCATAATATGACCTGCACATAGTCAGTTTATTAGAATAGAGCATTATTAGAATATTACAGTTTTAGCTGTGACTTTGTCTAGCCAAGTCTTAAAAACAGGCTGGGACAGAGATTTCACAGCCACCCTAGAAACCAGTTCCAGTGCTATACTGCTCATCAAGAGCAGTTTTTCTTGGTGTCCAGTTTGAAAATCTCGAGTTGAAATCTGTGGCCATTGCTCCTTCCTATGTTCTTGCGACAGCATATTGACGACTCCTTGTTTACCTCAGACTGTTGTTTTCCTCTCATTTTCTGCTGAAGACTGCTTTCTTTTTTCTTATTCAAGGAAGGATGCAACACTTCCAGCTTTAATGCAAATGTCTGTCTTTCACATCATTCAAATTGCAAGGAGTTCACATTTGGTTCAAATAAATACCACAGAGGCTAATAACCAGTCATTTTTGGCTGGATTTGAATCTGGAGCGTTTACCAGATATGCTGGTCTGTTCTGTTATTAACAACTCTATTTTCAAATTAATACCCTAATTTATAATTAACTATATTTTAATATAACTATATCTGTATTAGCCGCTTTCTGTATAACTATATTAACTATGTAAGTATTACTATATTTTTATATAACTAATTTATAACACAAATACTATGTTGTTTTCCATAAATGGACACAACATAGTATTCTAATTCATGAAGCTTTTGAAATTCTTACTTAGCCTGTCTGAAGCTCGTTTTGAGGGACTTCTGTGTAGGTTCTGAAACCATTTACATCACAGTTGCCTTTCTGTAACTCATTGTCTAATATGTAATATATCATCCACACTTTAGCATTGTTTTGGATTTTATTTCCACTCTTTACATGTCCATATACATAAAATAAAGCAACATCAGAGAATGTCTTTAAGTAGAAGGTGGTGGGATTTACCTCTTCGCTGAAAAAAATTACCTCATTAAGAGGAAAAAGTTACTTCTTTAGTCAGATAACAACCCAGGATTTTTATACCTCAGCTGCACAAATGCTTATGTCAGCAAAATATACAGACCTGTATAATAAGAGTATAAATAAAGACTGGGAAGTCAGCAGAGCAGTGATGACTTTAGCGAAGACCATTACAGGAAGGTTGACTAATTATGCGCTTGGTGTGTGTATTGCAGAAGCAGAGGAAAGTTCTTGCAGAAGTAAACTGTAGCAAGAATCAGGATAGTAGTTAGACTAGGCAGTTCTGATCAAATGAAGAAGCAAGTATCTGTGTGTCTGACTTTGTCTGACTTTGTCTGACTTTATCTGACTTCTGGTAGCTGGCACCAGAAGATTTTTAACACCAAGATGCAAAGAATTCAGACCCTGCCTTGGAAGTTTACCAATTTTAAGCAAGGCCCACTTAAGACATAGCACCTAAATTCTGACCCATAGCGCCTAAATTTTGACCCATTCTTCCAACTTAAGCATACCCTTCATTAGTCTGTATCAAAATGAAAAATTGTCAAAATGCATTCTTTTCTCCACATTTTTGTTTTAGCTGAATTCTGTTTCAATTTCATGTTCTTCAGGTTCCTCGAGCCAACTGTATGTCCATATATACATAATTTGAATTCCATGTAGTACTCATGATTAAACTTACAGAGGTGTTTACGTATTTTAAGGTAGCTCCTCCCAGAGATCATTGTTTCTCTGTTATAAAAGAGATGTTTAGGAATGGACACCAGCACCTACACATTCTTAGTGGATTTAGGGTAGAGTGCAGAATTAAATAAAAGTCTGATACACAGTATTGCAACTTAACTGTGGTGAGTCATCAGCATTCTGGTCTGTTGGTCTATCAGTACTTTGCTTCTGTTGTCCCATACTTGGTGTTACTATTTGATTGACTGTTCTAAGTAGCTGATGCTTTCCCCAGCGCACACAGAGCATAAGTTATATCAAAATATATTGTGGAACTATGTATGTAGATTTAACTTGGTTCTGTGCTGGGTGGTGAAAAGAGACGTTATGTCCGTGGTACTTAACAGAAAAGAGGTGTGAAAGATTGCAGAACTATGTAAGAGACTCCTATTGGTTTTCTTGCTTTCCTTAATTTAGCGCAGTTTTTACTGCAATTTTTTAGTCATTTTTTCTGCACTCAACACCAGGATATCTAAGTGTCAATTAAACATTAACTGCTGGTATGGGAATTTCCTCACAATGGGAATTCAAGAGAAATGTAAAATACCTAATAAATCAGTCTGTAGCTCTCAAAGTTCTTTTACAAAGGGAACTGGAATCAGTATTATCTTTTTCCAGTGATAATGCTAGGGACACAGAGAGAGGATTTCCTATGCTTAAAAAGAAAATCACAGAATCACAGAATGGTAGGGGTTGGAAGGGACCTCTGTGGGTCATCTAGTCCAACCCTCCTGCCGAAGCAGGGTC